AGAACCATTTGAAGGATTGATGGAGGAGAATGGAGGTAGCCACTGCTCTTCTCCATACGCGCCTTGGGGAGGCCCGTATCTTTGTCTGGAGTGTCGGAAAAAGAAAGACGCAATGGAGGGCAAGAGACCGAGCTGCTCGACAGCATGTAGGTGAAAAGGAAGCATGACTTGTGTCAAAAGTATGCTTCTTCTCCGTGTAAAAACTAAAGAGATGGGGATAAGTTGTTGGTGATTCAATTATTATTGTTTGCTGAACCTAACTAGATTCTCAGCCCGGTATAAATTGTATTTGGCTGCTAACCAGTTTGTTGCCTATGAACAATCCTAATATTGGATTCTTTTAAAATATATTATCGAGGAAAATACGGTGCAGACTGTACCATTGTGTGGGGAGAAACGATCTGCCTATTTATTGTGTGTTTTTGTGTGTTAGGGCCTATCATTTCTATTATTAATCTTGGAATGTATTTTTGCCTGAAGCGAAGTATGAGCTGAGCCAACTCTGTAAACACCGGATTTTGGTTGTTTCACGTTTGTTTCCATGTGTACGCATTTTCTTCTGCATACACATGATCTTTTTTTCTATTAGTGTACTTCCTCTGTGCCGCAATATATGAGGGAGTAGCATTTAGCCGTTGTATCTGGATTCCTTTGTTATATGTGCAAGGAATGAATTTACTCCCTCGGTCCCAAAATATAAGAACATTCTTAACACTACACTGGTGTCAGAAACGTTCTTATATTATGGGACGAAGGAAGTACTTTAGAAGAAGTTGGCTATATTGCACAGAGCTTTTGTTGGCTAATCGCAGGGCTAAATAACCATCTCCACTCGGGCCTGTTGATCCGGTAAAGAGAGATTTAATTGATTAAAAATGTTGCATCAAGATCTATAAATTATTTACTTTCGACCTCTGCATAATTAAGATTAAGATGCACATATCACACACAAGGAGAACAAAAACATTACTAGGTAACATAGGCTGCAACAAAAAGAATAATGCCGTCTAAGGTGATCGAGGGCGAGTATGAGACTAAATCCCCATCCATTTTGGGTAAAACTTTTCTTGACTACCTGTTTCTCAAATCCACATATTATTATTGTTTACTAATTTTTTTATCATTTCTACATAGGCAAAACGGCCAACAAAGTGTGGCTGCCCCACCTTGAGTGTCTTAATTTTCGTAGATAATTAGCGTGGATGTATTCACATTTAAAAAAAATAGGGGTTTGATTCTTTTATCTTTGTGGCAAAAAAATGGCTATTTACATGCCACTTTCGTTTCTTGAGGTTGTCTTTCGTTGAAACAATCCCTTCATGGAGAAATTTAAGTAAGACATTAACTTTCAATGGATTTTAAGCTTTCAAATTCTATTAGTATTAACTGGAGCATCACAATGGACTAGAGCCCGGCAGGGTGTCACAAAATATTCCTAGCCTTCAAATTAAAGTAAGATATTCACGTAAAAAAAATTAAAGTAAGATATTAACTTTAGTGGATTTTTGAGCTTTCAAATTCTATTAGTATTAACTGGAGCATCACAATGGACTAAGCCCGGCAGGGTGTCACAAAAGATCTACGTAGTTGATAAGAGCATCTCCAATAGCTTGTCTATATGGATGTCTATACTCGTTTTTCACGACGTGGGCCCAAAACAGGCGTCCAACAGCTTGTCTATATGGTCGTCCAAATATACACATCCTCTAAATCGACCTCGACAATGTCCACGCCTGGATAATGTGAAGGCGTCGTCTAAACTCAGTTGTAGTCATGATTTCTTTCTCTCCCCAGCAACGGCCCACCTGTCATGGTCCCTGTATATAGACGTTCTGATGCAAAACTGGATGTGTATATGAGGAAATCTTTTTAGACCATTTTCTATATGAATATATAGACATTCAAATATACACATGCTATTGGAGATGCTCTAAAGAAGCCTAAACTAAATACGGTTTGGAGTTTGAGGCTTATCCAATCAAATGTAGAACTAGTGAAATTGGAAATGAACACAAGATGACAATAGTTAGAAAAAATCCCCTCATACTACCGCATTATTTATTATATTTTTCTTTTACCTTTTTTCTCTAGCTCAAATTTTAGCGGTGCAGTCTGTGCGTGCCATTTTACTTCTTTGGAACTACTACTCTACTAATAGATGATCTACTGTGTATATTTCTCTATCTAATATTAAAGGACGGATTGTTTTTCACTTTTTTTGGTCCGCAGTAATCTTTTCGTACGTCGCTAGCAAAGGCAGACTTTGACGCGTGCGAACGCATCTCTTACGTTGCTTGTATAGATTCTAAGCCCGTTGTGTGGCCCAACGCTAGCTGACCTTAATTATGGGCCAAGTGATGCGTGTGGGCTTGCTGGTCCTTTGGGTGGAAAAACAAAATGCCACTTAAATAAAATAAATAAATGTGTGCCCGATGGAGTTGCACCCCGACCGCACACTGTATGGAAGCGCTGCCAACCACATGAGCTAGCAACTTAGTACAGCTATTTAGCAGCGTTAGAATTAAAGTAGTATGTACAACTGCAGATCTGTTTTTAATTTATTTCCAATAATTCTTGGAAAAAATGTGAAATTTTTTCCTTGAATATTTGCATAATGTTTGAAAATGTTGAATAAATTCCGAAATTAAAACAAAGTTTTAAAACCTGAATAATTTTTGGACTACGTGAACAATTATTGAAAACATGATTTTTTTTGAAATTATAAATATGTATTGAAATTTTTATATACGATGAACAATATTAAATTTACATTGAACATATTTTGACATACTCTCAACTATTTTTATATACACATTGACCATTTTTGTGATATAGGCTGAACAATATTAAAATACAATTTGAACAATTTTTAAATATAGATAGAAAAATTTTGTATTATACATTGAACAATTTTTAAATACACATTGAATATATGTACGTTGAACAATATTTAAATTTACATTGAAAATTTTGTGATATACTCTGAACAATTTTTGAATTGTAAACAAATATAAAGTGAATATTTTTTGAAAACAGAACAGTTTTCTCAAAAACGTAAACATTTTATGAAATGTGAACAATTTGGAAACTGTGAACAAATTTTGAAAATGATGGCATTTTTGGCATTCCTAACTATATTTAAATTTTAGGACAACTATTTGAACACGGGAAAAAGGAAAAGGAAAAGAAAGAAAAAACATAAAAGGAAACAAAAAACGAAAAAAAAAACTGCAACACCTATGTTGGCTAGTCCAACTGGGAGGGCCTTTAGCGAAGCCCCAATGCTTTGACGCTCATGAGCGTCAAACACGATCCACCGTTATTCTCACCTTATTTAGGAACCGAGTCAGCTCACTCCTGTTAATTTTTTAGATACATCTTTCATCGGTTGTTGGTTGATCCGGAACGGGCGTGAATTGGACATTTTTATTATTTACCTCAATTCAAACTCACACAAGTACATAAGGAATGGGGTATAGCCTAACTCTTGCAGACACCGAGGTGAAGATAAATCTTAGACTAACAACTATCCATCAGAGCCCCAATTAAGAGTCAACCACGTACGTCCGCAAACTGACGAAGAACCTGTTCGTTCTGGATCTCAAATCAATTGAGCCCCGCGAATCAGTAGAGGGAAACATTCCTATCCTCCTCTATTTAACGAGGGCGAGTTGAATCTTTTTCCCGTGAAGATACATGTGGCAATAGTCGGCGCTTGCTCGATGTTCACAATGCAATTTGTTGACCAATAGAAGATAAATTATACATACACGATGCACATACATACACGGCTATGGATTATACACACATAAATCATGGTTGCCGCTCACTATGTCGTTGTCAATGTGGCACTACACATCCTCTCCTACAAAGGGAAGCAGGAACACCGGCGTCATATCTCACCATGTGACGTCCGACCTCTACATCCTTCCCTCTTACTTTGTCATCGACGAACCTTTTCACCTCCGGTGATGTACCGCGACCCACCTCCTCCACCAGGCCAACCCTGATTCAAGGAAATCATTGTTTGGTCTTGAAAAAGAGAGTAGATGTATGAGGGGAGGTGTATGGACCAGGTGCAAGGAGTAGCTCGAGAAGGGCAACCCACATGTCTAGCTCACCGAGATTAATTGTTGAAGTTTTGAACATTTTCTTGCCTGGACATAATATTGGTGTGACATGCAGTGGTGAACCCATCGCCTTAGGATTGACCACATTTAACGCGCTGTGATCAGGTGGGTTATGCTCACCGTCCGCGAGGGTGAAAAAAAAAGGATAAGCGGTGACACTGTCAGGCACCGTGTCGAATTAGAGTATGTGGATATGTTAGGAGTCTTGAGCTAGGCTTGGGATATAGTCGTGATATTATTTTTCTTCCGTTGCAACGCACGGGCCTATTTGCTAGTATAGTAATTACGTACAAACAAATTGATGGTGAAATAAAATTAATTTAAAATTATTTATATCGACAGTAAATATCAACATTAAACAACCTGTTAACTACCTACTAACAATTCCTAACTTTCCTTCTTCATTTTACATTAGACTAGCACTGTAGCACCGTGACTTCCCTTCTCTGTTAAAGGATCCGGTTCCTGTGAAAAGGGCCAGACGGGAACAGGGGAGACCCAAACCCTACCCCCGCCGCCCCCCCAAATAACACCGCGAGTTGCTCGCCCGAGTGCCGTCTTCCCCGACGCCGGTAAGAAGATTCGCCGCCCAGACCAGCCGTGCGAGGTGAACTCGAGCACGCTGTCCGCCGCGTTCTGATTCAATTTTTGTCTCTGTCTATCGATTTTGCCCTCAAATCGTTCTTATCTTCCCGTCCAGAGTCGCCGCTGCCGGGGGTTCGCGATGCCGCCGTAGCTCTAGGTAAGCATACTCGCCTCCGTGCGTGCCCCAGGGATCCGGCGTCATGAGCCATCCTTACGTTTCCCCTTTTTATTCTTGTAGTTGATCGGAATCTGATCTGACGGAGCACCGGCGATCGACCAGCCACCATGCCGGGAACCGGAGGCGCGACCGTCCTGGACGACCTTCCAGAGTGGATCGTTGTCGAAGAGATCCTCGTCCGTTTGCCACCCAAGGACATCCTCCGCTGTCGCGCTGTCTGCAGGTGGTGGCACAGCGCCACCTCCACCGACAAGTTCATGCTGGATCACCACCGCCGCCAGCCCTTGCTCCCGATCCTCAGCCACGTCGTCGTTCCGCAGAAAGCCCGCCTCCTGTTTTCCTTTGATGCCGGTGCAGGCCAGCAAAAACTCTGCCCTGTCGTCCGGACCTATGACTACGGTAAACTGCAGACCGCCTGTGATGGCCTCCTCGTTGTCTCCCACGGATCCATGACGGATAAGTTCATCTGCAACCCTGTCACCCGCAAGTCTGCCCGCCTAGCAAAGCCTCAGGCCCAACGGGGTTTTTACCACCAGATTATCGGCTTCTACCGGCACCAACCATCCAGAGGAGAATTCCGAGTGCTATGGATCTCTAGGCCGACGACCTACAATTCATACGACACAAATTACAGAACTTTCTACTACGTCATAGTGGTGGGATCCGATAATACAAGATGCATCAGACAAGGATGCATCCCACAACCAACATCCTCGCCGCCTTCCTTGGATCTGGCTTTACGCAGGGGCCTGCCTGATTCGTCCCAGTATCCACCAGTCCACCACCGTGGCGGCCTGCACTGGAGACTTAGAAGATACCACGGCTCCGATGCGGACTACATAATGGTGTTCAACACAGCAGCTGAAACATTTCGATTGATGTGTCGTCCTGCCCGATTGGGCAACTGCTTACATGAGTCATTGCTGGAGATGGATGACACTCTTGCTTTGTGCAGCATCTGCAGTGACAAACACACCATAGACTTTTGGGTGCTACAGGACTACGATGCTGAAACGTGGTCTTTCAAGCATCGGATTAATTTGATTGGGGTGGATCCATCAGCGCTTGTTGATCCAGAGGTCATAATATCCCCTAGTATGGCTGTTCTCAGTGGGGGTGAGATGCTGATTCGGTTTACTCATAGGGGTGTGTTGCATTTTGATGTTGATGGCAAGTTTTTAGGATATGTGAAAAGCCAAGATGGCCAAGAAATCAATTTGTGGGTTACCGGGCATTACCTCCAGGAGAGCATTATTCCCGGTCCACTGTTCCATGAGATGAGAGAAGATGATGGTGCGAACCAGGAGCCTCCATTTTTTGTAGTACTGTAGGATGCAATGCTTGATCTGGACCGTTCTACACTGCTGGTTTGCAGCGCCATTGGAGTATCTATTTTAATTCTATATGAGCCTTTACTTTTGTTCTTAGTTGGTCTTCTTAGTGCTGCTTGTAGAACTGAACAATTCGGATGGTAGGAGAGCTCCTCTGCTATCAGCATTTGGTGTCTATTATCTTGGATTTAGCATAATGATGGACTACTTACTCTATTTTATTCCCCTCATTTACTTCATTTTTTGGTACCACCAAAGGCATGGTTGCAATTAGAAACTGGTGATTGCTCGCTAAGATATTAGGCTCTGGTAAGACTTCCTGCTACTCCAGATTCAGTACACCAATGACTTGCCATTCCACTTTCTTTCCAAGAAAACAGATGTTTGTACACATGCCATCGAGAAAAGATGAGCTAGTCAGTCTTTGTCGTGTTGTTTAAGTGCATACTTTTGTTTAGGGATCCATTCTAGCATTAGAAGTAATTGCGACATTTTGAATCGTTGGAATGGTTAGTTTGGATCCTTCCTCCATGTTTAGTATTTTTTTTTTAAATGAGACCAACCCAAAGGCTAACCCTTGTTGGCATTTTTTTATAGGAGAAACTCCGCGAGCACTGCGTGTCCAAGCCGGGCTTGAACTCGGGTGGGCTGGCAGCTACCCCAGCTGCCCAGCCAACGGGTCGACGCCCCGTCCTCATGTTTAGTATTTTGATCCTTGCTCAGTGTGTAATTTTGTCCTAAGCATCTGACAGGTTGCTCCTGCTCTTTGTGTCGCAATGTTTTTTGGTTCCTTGGCTTTGATGTTTTGAGAAAAAAATTCATCCTGCTGGTAAGACTGGTAGTGTTGCCATGGTCTTATTTATGTTGTTTTTGTGTATAGGATTTGGTGGGTTTTTTTGGGGTAAAAGTGAGGTGAAGATGTACTGGTTCCTGGTTCCTCTTCTCCTGGATAATATATTCTTAATTTACATGGTGATAATTTGATTAGTCAATGCTTTTGTATGTAAACTCTTAGATCACATGGAAAAGTTGAGCAATTTTGATGCTGTTTGTGTGAGTAGACATGTACGAGTATAATTCTGCATTCTCCTCTTTCATGTGGATTAACTCTCTACATGTTAAATCCAACCATTCGGTGATGTTTCTTTGGGTCTTTAATCTAGCCTGGTGTATATGCCACTGCATAATAAATCAATGATCTATAAGACCTTAGATTATTTCAGTGACTAACTTCATTATTTTTCATCATCTGATATGCCCTGGGTAACTTGTGAAAAAAATGTAAAAGAAACTTCCCAAAATGAAAGTGGAGAGACTCTTACTGAATTTTTTTTCTTTTTTCAGATTCAGTTTTAAGCTTTTTTTTGTTTGCGCAGGCTCAGTTTTAAGCTTTGAGAACATTGATGCGACAAATTCTCCCCGTCAATGTTGATGTGGACTATTTTTTTATGGGGAATTGATGTGAACTGTTTGTAGAGTCCATTAAAGTTGCTTCTATCCACGTGATTTTTCACAGCTATTTTTTCTTCGAAATTACACTGGGTGGTATTAGATTTTACCATCTCCCTGTTTCCTTTTCTCGCTTCATATGGTGCTATGCTTAAACCAAATAAAATCGTGGAACGATTCCTACACTTTGATTTGAATCTTTGGATCAAAATGTTACTGTTAGATTCCCATAATAGGCTTTTGGATTAGATTATGTGAGATCTAGGTGGTCTTTGGTGAGAAGCAGCTCCCACAAGGAACAACTGTTGACATGTCTCAACACAAGACGAAAGAGGAGACTCCGTTGGTGCTGTGTATCTTGTACAGGAACACGGTGGAGGAGACTCCATTGTTCAGCTGCTCGTGTGTCAGTCTTAAGAGCTCACGAAGCTAGTTATTGCGTGTAGTATGTCTAACTTGTGATGCGGTGTGCTTAGTACGCTCGGCTCTTGTTCATCTGGTACATCGGTTGTAATAACAAAAAAGTTTTCTTCTGCTCCGAGCTCAAATGAGCTTGAGATGAACATACTATTATACGTACTAAGGGATGGATGGAGTACTAGTAACCATTGCCGATTACATTCAGTAGACCGATACAAACACACACCATCACCGATTACATCCACTAGACCGATATAAACGCACGCCATCACCGCACACAACAGATACCCAAGGAAAGGTACAAAGGTGCTAGTCATCGACACGCCACCTCACCGACTACCAAGCAAATTATAGATGTGCGAAGAAGACCGCTTGGAGCTGACGGAGAACTCCACCGTGGGCAATCCACAACGGAGAGGTGAGAGGGACAACGACGAAGCCAGGACTCCAAAACGGTGCCTCTCAGAAGGGTACGACCACGGATAGCCGCCACCGTCAGATCCGGTAGATCAAGTTTTCACCCCGAGTAAGATGAAAGGAGTGGGAATGCCGCAACGAAGCCTTCAGGAAGGATACGACGTCAACGGACGTCGCCACCGTCGGCTAGTACAAGGACTGGGCAAGTGATGTACCCCAGCGCTCACACCCCTTCGTCGCACCCTAGATTCGCCAACCACCGCAACCAAGCCACCCTCGCGGCCATGGCTGTCTGCCCATACCTGAGACGCGCGCCTCCCGTCGTCACAGCTGCGTCCTACATTCAGACATCCCCACGACCAGCCAAAGTGGCCGGCTTTGGTCCAAAGGGACACCCCCGACCAATGAAACCGCAGCCCACATCCCGCCTTGAACATCACCGGAGCTGCATCCACGCGTAAACGGACGGGGAAAGGGGGAGGAGGTGGAGGAGGCGCATCCATGACCGACACACCCCCGTGCTGGTGACATGCATCCCTAATGCCGGCGCCGCCCATCCCTCCAGCCAACCTCCCCACAGAACACTACTTATGTCGCCCCACCGCGGTGGCCGATGCAGATCCACGTAAGGCCACCAATGAATGCCCATCCACTGGCAAGGGGGGCCCACAGGCCGCCACCCACCGCCAAGATTGCTCACCGAGGAGCTCATCCGCGCCACCTGCCATCATCCAGCCGTCGGATCGGGCTAGAACCTGGCCAGCATGCCGCCAGATCCGCCACTGATGCGCCGCCACCCCCACCAGCTGAGCCCCAGGGTAGGGGTGGTCGTTCGCAACCTAGCTCGAGCATGACCCGCACCCCTAAATGGGATGGCCATGAGCGCCGCCACCACCATCCACCCAGGGTGCACCACCACCATGATGATGCCACCTTCACCGGAGCAGAGGAGGACCACTGCGTCGTCGCCCCCACCAGTCGATGTCATGGCAGGGGGGACCACCCGCGGCCCTCTCCTCCCAAGGTCGGCGCTGGCTGCACCGTTGCCTGCAGCACCGGCCAGCCCGCCCTGAGAGAGCACCACCACCTCCGCGTGGACGCTAGTCGCCGCGCCGCCAGGATGCCACCGCCGACAGTGCCCGCGAGCCGCAGAGTCACCGCACCCTTCCGCCAGCATGACCCAGGCCGGCAGATCGGTCCGCGCCTAACCTCTCATGCGCAAGGAGATACGAGGCCCCATCGCCGCCTGCGACGACAAAGCTTCGCCCGGCCGCGCCCCTGGAGACGGCAAGGAAGGAAGAAGAGGTGAGGAAGGGGCCCGACGGCGGCTAGGGTTTGGCCTCCCGATCGCTCGCAAGAACGATGAGGGGGGAGGGGGTGGGGGTTATCCCCGTCTACCACGGAGGGGCCACCTGCTAACTATGAATCTTGATGTAATTTTTATTATGTTGATGTTTTATACTCTTGATGAACTTTTATAATATATTTAATCCTTTCAAGGAAAAAAAAGGAGGCATCCAAACTGTTGCAGACTACTGGTGTAAACCTGAACTGAGCTGAGCTTCCTTCTTTTTGAAAAAAAACTGAACTGAGCTCTCAACTGACTAGACTCTGCTTTCTATGTAAGTATACTATGGTATCCGGATTCCGCTGCCTGGATGGATGGATAGTAAGTATGAATGGATGTACAATCGAAAATTGCCCATGCTGCTCAGGCACCTTGGTGCCCATTTAAAAAAAATATTTTCTACAACAAAAATTGTACAGCTCACAAATTACATTATTTGAAAACAATTTTTCATCGATCCATAGTGAACACATAAAGTTTTCACAGAATTTGTTTTCGATTTTTTCTAAAACTTGTAAATATGAAAAAAGGGCACCTTGGTACCCGTTCACACTCATGTACACCCGGTAGTTTCATCACTCACTGCACTGACCGCAGTTAGTTCTGCTTAATCAACACTGGCATTGCAAAACCTGACACAAACAAAATAGGAAATAAAAAGAGAAAATGATTCAGGTGGGGGGCTTGGGCCCCCCCCCCGACCTTAAAAAAAGGAAACAAACGTCATTGTGATCGCCTGATCATCTGTCGCTATCCTTCGTTTCATGTGTTGTCGACGAACAATTGCTAGAAACACACCTGCTTGCACCCTGCAAAAATAAAATGCTTGCGGTTCTGTGTGCCATACACAAAGGACTGGGGAGAAAAGACGCGGTTTCCTCTCGGCACAGGACAAGGAGGTCACAGGCGGCAAATGCAGGTCAGCTAGCAAAATGTTGTAACGAACCACTGATGCAAAGGATCGATACAAGGGAGGTAATCGGGATCGAGATCCAATCCACGTTTCCTTGCTGAGGAAGAAGGTGAGATACATGGAGAGTAGGTGAGATTCAGAGAAGGAGGGAGGAAACAGAGTTCACAGATAACACGCATGCTCTCCTCGGTGCCTCGTACCCACACTTATACATCAACCCCCACCTGGCCTGTGGGCCCTAGCTACCTGGTCCAGCCACTCCCAGCTGTCCACCTACATCAGGGGAATGGAGGTGTGACACTCTCCTCTTCTTCAAAAAAGCCTCCTCTTCTGCCGTAGGTTCTTAAGGAACAATTTTTCATCGATCCATAGTGAACACATAAAGTTTTCACATAATTTGTTTTTGAATTTTTCTAAAACTTGTAAATATGAAAAAAGGGGCACCTTGGTACC